GGATGTTCTTATAAATACTGGACCAAGAAAGAGAACTTGTAGAAACAGAAAGCCCATTCAGGCCACCACAGACCTGATAGCTGCACTGAAATATTCAGACAAACTTGTGGCTAGGAAGGAGTCAACAAGCATTGTAGGCTTTCTCATATCCTCTGTCACAAGCGTTGGGTGCCAGAGGACACAAGCAGTCATAACATCTGCAGCCCACATCTGATTCCAGGCCTAACCACTATGGAAAAGTAAATTTCTGAAGGGGGACCTCTACACTTAGCTATGAAATCAGATCTCTAATTTCTTCAAAACCTCTTGGAGGTATGCAGACTAGCCTTTGTTTAAATAACTAAGTAATAAAACTGAATGGAAAACCCTTATCTGCATTTGATGCAAAGCAAACAACCTATCTTTCAAAAAGAACCCCAGATTCTTAAGACACTTTGCTGCATTAAAGTAAAGCAAACCATATAGTTTTCAATTATATACTGATTAGAATTTGTCAAAGTATTGGGTGACTGAATTAGCAATGACTTAGCAATTAGCCACTGAACATTATTTAGTAATATGCAATATTGTTACATATTATATATATGTGTAATATGTAATATAATATTTAGTAAGATTTTCATACAGTAACGTCTTTAATATGTACAGTATCTGAAGCTATAAATTAAGGCTGGAATAATAACTTAAGGGAAGTTCTACTCAATTTCAATGTACTTTAAACTTCCTTGGGAGTGGCACTTGACTGAACGGTCTTCAAATAGGAGCAATATGAAGGCATAATCTTTTATTCCCTTTACAATCCTGAGTTGCAACTATACCTACTGACATCTCAGAAAACACTGTTTCAGCTGTAACTTGCATTGCAAACCACTACAAAATCTTCAATTTCAAGAAATATATAACATTCAGAAGAAATATATATATTTACATATATATTATATATATATTTCAAGAAATATATAACGTTCTATTATCATTGTTTCAATAATAATCTGATTAGAGAGAACAAGATGAGGCAAAAGAAACAAACAACAAGGTTTGGTTGGCAATGAAACTTTTGCAAAATATTGTTTAAAAATTACAGGGAAAATAACAGTTTCTTATTCTAGGAAATGACCTGCTGATTTCTGTGTGCTAACAGAACAACAGCAGGAGAAATCAATCCAAATCATTTTGTGCTTCTGTGTGGAATTTACTGGAACACAAATTTGCAGAGCCAGACGTTTCAAACACATAATCAAAGTCCAAATAATAACCCAGCCCAGTTTCTGGAGATATATTTATTTCACGATACTAACATAATAAAATAACTTATTTGAAAGAAGTTTGTTAACTTAGTAACTAAGCAACAATAATTAGCATTTTTTGATGCTAGTCTCCTTTAAGCAAGAAAATCTATATATGTGAAAAAGAGAGAAAATTACTGTATTTTACAGACACATGCAGAAGGGCAGAATACACCTTCAAAACTTATTTTAAATCATGATGAAATCAAGGGAAAAAAGCTTCAAGTCCCCAGTGCATATCATTGCAGAATTTGATCCAATAACATATAAATACTAGTTCCTTTGTGTGATTTACATGGAATGTTAAGCAAATGAGGACTTTTCTTTAAAGTTCAACTTTCTTTTCACTGAGAAACAACAAATATTCAGGTATTTTTCCAGTCCTCCAGATAAGACTTTTAAAAGTGCTCTATTGGCACACGTTCGTTTCCTGAAAAAGTAATCCAAATTGTTTTTACCAGCTGTTTTTTTCATCCTGTTTCAGTTTTCCAAGAAAACCATTAGCAGAAGGAAACACTAAGTATAATTCTAAACAGGGAACAAGAAAATAGGACCATATATGTATTTTGACAAAGAACTTTCAGCTCTGATAAACTCTGCATCGTCTTCAGTGACAGCCTAAGGGCGTCTAGGCGTGTACATGTAATAAATCATTCAATTGAAAAGATAATTACTGAGGGGAAAAAAGCTTTCTTGATTGCAATTATACTGAACTGTTCAAATTAACATACCCACAGATGGCTCTTTGTTGTCCTACATACACATAAGAGAGAAGAATGATTCATTACTTTAGCTCACTCACTTGAAAGGAAAAAAATTCAGGATCTTGTTATTAATCACGCTTATACCACACAGGCTTTGTAAACTAAGGAGGCTTTTGACTGCAAAACCAATGTAGAACAAACGGTTAATTAGGCTTTTAGGCTGGAGTTTTCAAAGGCAGTGAAAGTTGGATGACATCTAGGTGAAAACAGCACTCTCTTTAAGCTGCAGGCAAAGATTCAGAAATATATCCCCATTATTATTTGGTCTGCAGTGCTGGCCCTTTCTGAGCATGGGCACAGCATGCACACCCTTTCAGCAAAGAATAATCTAATTAAAATGTATACTTGCATACGAACATGCTGTGCCGCTCCTTTCCAATTTAATTATAACGGTTATTACAAAAAAATGAACACTCCCTCGCCAGCAGCTTCAACATTTTTCTCTTCACAGTTACTCCTGCTGCTTTGCTCAAGTTCTTGAGACAGAGAGCTATTTCTTCGTTAGCCCCGTTCTCTTTTAGAAAAGTGTGCCTGCTTCAGATAAACACAAAGGGGACATTTTTGCCATTGAGAAGCACACGTTAATGGCCATTTCAGGACTGAAATATACCCTGCAAGCAGCTCTTTCACAGATGAAGCTAGTTTTCCTGATGACTGCTCAAAGGTCAAAATCCTGACCCTCTGAGAGAAAAATGGTAATCTATTAATCCTGTCTTTGCTTCATGGGCATTCCTTCTCTCTAGTCCTTCCTTATTTGTACCGCATTTTCGGAGTATGTTGGTGAGTAAATTACTGAGAAGCCACCCAAGTCTCAATACTGCAAAGTGAGAAAGTTGTAGCAGTCACCACCTCTGCCCTTTCCAGAAAGTTAAGAAATTGTTCCCATCCTTAGTTAATCATCAGTCTCCTTCCTAGTGGGATTATCTGACTCCCACTCTCTGGTTAAACTGTTAAATTTCCGTGCATGTTACATGTTAAGTTTCCATGCATCGACTACAATTATATTCAGAGTCTATGGCTCTCTTTCTTCCAGGATAATGATAGCAGAAATAAAACAAACTCTTTAAAGCCTAACATTTCTTGCAATATTAGTTATTTAGTACAAAAATTTGTCAGGATAAAACTAGCAAAATCCAGTAGAACAATGCCTAGCCTCTCAGGTACTGCTGTATTGCCACACATTACCATGGCAAGACTGAATTCCTTCCTACCCAGAAACATATGTTCTCCTTCTCTGTCATCCTGTCGCTGCTCTGGGAAACAACTTCCTGGAAACATTTTTCTTCCTGGCAAACTACTACTGGCAACTTTAACAGGAATCAGACCATTTTCTGTCTGTAGCCCCGATTTGGGATCTTGGTTTCCATCTAGTAATGTTTGTCAACAACTAGGTAGGAGAATCTTAAAAAGAACTGAATGCCCTATTCTACTTTAAATGTCTGCTGGGTTGCTGCTGTCTAGGAATGCCATGTGTATGCTGTCAGGTTTGGGCTCAACTACTGAAGATATCCTAAGTTCCTGTCTCGCCTGGACCATGTTCAGAGGAATGTATGATGGTACAGGTGCACAATGTTACCTTTCAGACACTTCATAGCCTCTCTTCTACATATTCCAAAAAAATGCATAGCTAATATACAGACTGAGACAGTTTTGAAATGGCTGAAATATATTCAGCACCTGTTCATTTGACATAAGAAAAGGTGGTCCTTGGATGCCTTATATTCACCTCCACTGTTTCACTTTGCAGTCATCCTCAGTATGATGCCACCAAAATCTCCCCAACCCTTTTGTTAACTAGAAGAACGTTATAATCTCTCTGCAGATCAGGGAAGAAGCTCTTGAGATGCAATTTGCAGCTCTCCTCTGTTTAGTTTCTCAGTATTTTGATCCAACCCAATTTTCTCTCACAATCCTCCAAGTGCCCCTATTCTGCACACTGGTAAACCACTAGGTAGGGAGCTGAGCAGCAGGTAGGCTAAAAAGCCTGACAGAGCAATTTTCAGATAGCAGCTCACCTCTCTCTATGCAATGAAAGCAGCAACAAATAATTATGTGTTTAGTGATACACAAACCATATTGGTTTGTTTTCTAAAAATAATTCATTTTTAGCAGGCTGACATACCACTTCTTCATCCACATGCTAAGAGAGCTTTCAGTTAAATTAACTTTACCTCCGAAGTGCCTGCATGTATCCTTTAACACCAGTTACTCCTTCATTTTATCTTTCCACCTCCACAGCTACTTGCTGTGTGACTTTTCATGGTTGCAGTGGCAACAGCGACTAATAAATTGGGTCACAGGTCAGCATCAGCCACACCAGATCTCATGTTTCCCTTCCTTTCCATCTCTCTCTTGAGAGCAACACCACAGGACATGCTCTCAGAGCACAAGAAATTAAGCATTTTCCTATACACTCACTCAATAGTTTGGTTTTTTATATTCACTTGCCAGTGACATTATCTGGCTACAATACCATCTGCATCTCACCTCTGAAGTCCAAAATAATCATTCTCTATATGTTCGATAGCATGATGGTTATAGGAAATATTCTCTGTTGCGAATTCCATCTGACTTAACTGAGCAAGTCTAAAAGCTCACGGTTTAGCAAAACAATTGCAAGAATATGCATTTCTAATGAAAACTGAAAAACAAAGCAAACAAATCCTTATGAAGTCTTTTCATACACCAAAGAAAATGAAAATATGCACAGAAGTTCTAAAACCTTTTTTTTATTCTGGAGCAAAGAACACTCTATAATGTTGTCAGTAATTGGAAAGAGTTAAATGTGTGTGTATATATATACACACATGGATAGATCAATCCCAACATTTTTTCCCAAATACAAATAAATAGACCAGATTCAATCATCTAAGTCATAAATATCATTGAATCTATCACACAAAAAAACAGTGCTTAAAATAAACACAGTCAGCAGTGGACACTGTCGTACCTTGACAAAACGTAGCATTGATCCTCTTGTAGCCTTGTGGGCATTCTGTCATAGGACTGTATCCATGGTAAGCTGAACAAAAAAATTTACATCAGATGAGCTGTAGGCTTATTTAGAGAATCTGATAACTAAGTTATTATATAACTCTAACTTTATGCAGAAATTCAAATACAGGTATATTTTTATTTTGCATATTTACTGCGAACAATTTCCATTATCCACTCAAATTTGCTCTCAGTTAAAAAGATGACATCTTTGAAATCATCCTCACTGAACTCAAAAATTCAAATAATTAGTTCTACAAACCTGCAACAAATATCATGTTGAGAAAAAATAAGGTTGAAGATTTACCCTGGAAAGTCAATGCTTTTAAAAGTGAAAATAGCTTTGGAAAGCAAAAATACATATGCGTGATGTGAAACAAATTATAGTGCACCGTTTGTTTCACCACAGTGAATTTAAATTCTTTGAAATGCACACGAAACAGAAGCAACTAAACGTCTGAAGCAAGACAAAAAGTAAAAGGGGACACGTCTCTGATTTACCTAAAAATTTTTCTGAGTTTTAGAAATCTATGTGACTTATTGGCTGATCAGTGGAAACTGCCAAGAGTGTAACAGCACCGCAAAATACAAAGTCCAATTTTGACAAAATAGAAAGTGTTCTGTTAAATAGGTTTTTTCTGTTTATTGTTTCTTTCCTCCACTTAAGGTTGCCTTTGAGACTACAGAAAACTGCTTATTGATTCTTCAATTGTTCTAGCATAATAAAAATGAGACCAGTAACTTCTCTGCTTGTTATAAGCTAAGCTCTTGACAAAACCCAGTACTTCAGCAAACACACAGATCTAATGTTTGGCATCGTGATCACAAAAGTGATTTCAGTAAAGAGTCAATAGTTTTTCATAATTTGAATGCTACAACAGGATACATTCAACATTTGGTCAGAATTTAAAAGTTAAGCTGGCCAAAAAAAAAAAAAAAAAAAAAAAAAAAGAAGCATTACACTACATCCTTAGTGTACACAAACTGTCAAATTAGAACAAAGTGAGATAGCGATTTCACTTGGCATTATTTCACATGTGATGCCTGAACTGCACATAACTGCACATTTATCCCTACAGTTTAGTTCAGAACTGGAAATCAATTCATTACAAGGGGAAACATTACAAAAAATACATTTTTAAACTTGTTTTAAAGTTTTTCATATGCTCTGGAAGAATTTAAGTGATGATCTTGAGACACAGTTTTTGGAGTAAGGTAATTTTAAATTGCTGTGATTATTTCAAATAATTGCTTAATTAGAACATAACGACATTTTTGATGTGATGAGGGACATGGCTAAGTGAGAACTATTGGTGATAGTTGGACTGGATGATTGGACTAGATGATTTTGTAGGCCTTTTCCAACCTTGATGTTTCTGTGATTCGGTGACACTTTCAAAATGGCTTGAAGCTATGAAGTAGTTAAACACTAAAATCGTGAGGGGTACAGTGAGGTCTAAAAACATCAGTGAAACACTAACCATTAATGCTGTCAGAGTTAGATTCATTTTCTCACTGATTATGTCCTAATTTATCCGTGCTTCCCATTATAGAGCTCATTCAGTTAATATTAAAACCAAAACACCTAGTTATTGTGGACATAATCCGTAGTACCCTGTAGATCTAACATAGTACAAGCAGAGCTCTTCCAGTTGCACATGGAGAGCAGCCCATAATCTGTGCCAGGTCTTTTCCAGTGCCACAATGCATTTTCCCTTCCATGGTGACTCAGCTGCTCTAGAAAGTTTAATGGTGGAGTGAGGTCAGAGACTTCAATCTCTCCATCCCTACTCATCCTGCTCCCACACTGAACAGGAAACAGTAGCTTATTGGCAGCCTTCTTCTTCCTTGTTCTAAGAGCAGCAACATAAACAGGTCATAGTAGTGTATGAAGCTTGTGAAGTGATGGCTAGTCATCCATGTGGTAACTGGATGGAGTCCTACATTACTTACACTTTACTCACTCAGATAACCTGTTTGTAATTACTAACTGTAACCAAGAAGCCTGAGCAATCATAATATTTCCCATGTAACACAGAAATGAAGTTTGTTTTAAAGGTCTTCTTCTGTAGAAGTTCACAGAAACAGAGATCTCCAAAAATTCTTCCTTTATTTTAATGTAACGCTGAATAATCTACAGACTTAGAGACGCAGGAATTGTCTCAGGCCAAGGCACTCATCTTTGCAACAGGACTGGTCCCTGACTGAGCAGTGGATATTTAAAGGATACATACAGGATACTTGGGCCCGGATCCAGATTTTAAAGTTCTAGTTGTGTGCCTAAGTTCAAATTGGACATCTATAAAACCCTGAGATGCTGCAAGATCACTTAAACTCCTGCAACACTCCAAATTTGATTGCTTAAGTTCTTAGAAATCTGAAAATTCACCATTTACACCCATGCAGATTTTCAAAAGATATTGCATGATTGAACAGCATCGTGCTTAAATAATTTATAAATAAAATATATAATGATAAATTGCAGATACTTCGATCAAAGCTTCCTGATCAGTTCAGTCAGTGAATGTTCTTAAAGCAATCAACTCCCCAGCCATACTCATGATATAATGTAATTGGAGATGACACTGTATTTTAATCTGTGGAAAACAGTATACACACATTTCCTCCTCTCTAAGAAGGGCAGAAAGATAATGTACAGTGAGAGCTCCTACCTATAAAGATGAGAAGCACATCCCACTTAATTTCAAACCCTTACTTTCCAGGAATACCTTTACCACAAGAACAGGGTTATTCTAAGTAATAACATACCCTGTTTCCTCTTGAAATTACAGCTTCCTCTTGAAATCACAATTACAACAAAAAAACAATTCCAAATTCATTGAGTCAGAAGGCAGGGATAAGCACAACTCACACTATTAGTAATTAACAATACCAGGAAAGAGACTGAATTCCCATTCCTGTTCCAAGAAATGTTTCTTCATTTTATGGATTAAGGCATCTCCTCATAGGTATAAAATGTAGACTTGAAACTCTTCTGGCAGATGAAGGAACTCTCAATTGCCTCATCTTGAGAAAATGTGTTAGCCACTAAGGTTTTATATGAAAAGGACAATGATCCTCTCATTAGTATTTACAAAAAATTACTCAATGCATTGATAAAGGCTGGTGGAGGTTTTAGGGCTGTACATCCCAGTTGCGTTCAGTCATTTCTCTGTAGCCTCTAGGAGGAATCTAGGAGACCGAGATTTCAAAGGTGGTTTGCCCCAGTGTTTCCCTATTGGCTTTAACAGCATACAGAGTGTGTTGGTATTATGTAGCTTCCTGAACAGCATACTGCCCAGAGTGGATTTCAGGATGGGAAAGTTTGTTTTTTACTGAAGCTGTGGAGAATCAGACATGGACTTCCCTTGGAACTAAGCACCGAAAATTTATATTAGTTCTTAGAATCACAGAATGGTTTGAGTTGGAGGGATCTTAGAGATTATCTAGTTCCAGCCCTGCTGCCATGGGCAATTTTCCAGAGGCAAATCTGAATCTACTAGGCAATACATTCTGCACATCCACATACTTCTAATGAACAAAACTTTTAGCTGTAATTAAATTGCTACACATTTTGAGAAAGCTATAAAATCAGGACACATTTCACAATTCACAGCGATGTTACACTAATACAAAAGGAATGTCCCTGTGAGCAATTTACTAACAGGGACATTCAGAAATTTACCCCAAGTATGCTCTCTTTTGGAAGCAAAGCAGAAGGTAAACATACTCCAAAACATAAAATTTTTATGTTTCATAAAGTCGTGCAGGCTCTTCTGTGGAAGGAGAAGCCAGAGAAGTGGAAGTCAAAGTAAATTTTCTTCTGGGGTTATACTTATTACATTAGACTTGTAGACAATAGTACCTTTCCAAAACATCAAACACTGAACATGCTTCATGTATCACAATACGTGAAGGAGTACTTCTATAAGAAGTAGCCATCTGTAGGAGTAACAGTGGCCTTGGAGACCTAGATAATGACTGCAGCTTCTTGCACCACTTTTGGGCCTGTTAACAGGGATCTAACTCCGTTCGCAACTTCACCATTTTATTCTTTCATTGAGTGATAAATATAATAAATGACAGAAGTATTGCTGGTTTTGTGCAATAACCGCATAATTCATGAAAGTTTAAGAGGATAGCTGCACTTATCATCTGGAATTTCTTTCTCATTATAACATCATGTCAAATCATAACAAACCAGTGAGGAAAGTCTTTGTCACAGTTAAATTGTCAAGGAAGTTACTCCAAAACAGAGTGAAAAACCATGTATAACTGATAATTTAGAGCCTAGAAAAATTTGGCTCCAAACTTGAAAGTTCATCCGCAGTCTCAGGAGGTCATTGCATTCACTCCAACCAGTAACTGGCGCCTCTATAATTTAAAATTTCTGTACAGACTTTTTAAAAAAAAAAAATAAATCCAGCTGGAAGAGGCAAGATGACTCAATGTCATTACCCTTCTTGAGAAAAATGCAACAGTGCATCATTGCCTAAGAGGAAGAGGAGGAAGCAAGAAAAAAAGAAAAAAACCACAACCACACTAGCACTGTTGGCTGTGTTGAGTGCCTGCGTACTGTAACTGCTGGCATGCAAGAGAATCCCAGTTTCTGCAACCTGCCCCTAATCAAAGCATGGTGTGTTCTCTCTACTACGTTCTTTTTCTTTTCCTCCCACAGAAAAAAAAAAAAAAAAAAAAAAAAAAAAGAGCAACTACTACTTGAGAAAAGAAGTTACAAACTTGTCCAGAGAATAACAACAAAGAAACACTTACATGGCTTCTTGGGACACTTCTGGCATTTGTTAAAACCCCAGGAAGTACCCACTGTTCCACAGCAGTCTTCTTGCTTTGAAAGACCAGGAAGTGCTTTGCCACACTGGAAAAGTTGGGTAAAGAATATTCAGGTTAGTGCTGTTGCATGATACTCACCTGTAGGATCATGTTTCTCTTTCAATCATCTTGGGTGAGCTTCTTGTAACTGAGGCACCAACAGATGACTAGAGCTCTTAGCCAAGTTTAAACAATGCCCATGAATGGCTCTCTGCACAGGAATGAGCAGGTTTGGTTATATTATTACCCTCTTCTGCTTCAAACTCAAAAGGAAGATAAAAGAGAAGAAAATAGATAGTATATTATTCTTCGTCACAGAACTGTCCTCCTCTGCTTTTTCAAAAGCCATGTACATTATTTTAAATAAATTACTCGCTTAAAAAAGTATTATTTTAAAGAGTATAACTGATTTCTATATTGTTATTTCCTATGTTAATAAGGCTCGACTTTCTGTCAACTTATGTTTAATGTTTGTGACTGTTACTGAAAATTGCCAAATTATTACATAAGATTCTGCTATTCAGATAATGAAGAATTAAGGAATACATGACTCTTGTCAAAGTGAGATGCATTACTCAAAATGCTTCGTGCAAATATTTAAACTGATCTTGCAATCATTTCTAATCCAATCACTTCCTGTATTTTTTTTCCTGATTAAGAAACAAAGTTAAAATGTATTTCTCTATGAGAGATAAAGACATTAAGAAGTACATCTACACTTGTCAACTAGGTTCAAAATCAAAGCATTCAAAGCGTGAGAGAAGTGCATAACAGGTGCACTTTAAAAGCAAATACTGATATAAATAGGCATTGCAGGAAATAATTCAAATGCGTTGAAGTGTGAATTTGCACTAGAGTGAATGAACCTTCCCTGATCTAACTTTTCTTCCTGACTAAATATAAAAACCTCTGAACCAAATGACCACCGGTGTTTATTTTTCAGTTAAGATAGCTGTCTTGTCCTCCAGCACAGGCTGCATGGCCTTGTGGTTGCATTCGCTTCTACTGATAACCCTGTCATTCTGTAGTGGAGATGCATACTGAACACACAGGCACTGACAGCTTCTTCTCAGCTTCCTAAAGTTCTTCTAGTATGCAAATGCTCATAGGTCACTGATGTTTCTGAAGTACAAAGTTACTCTATAAGGCTTCACAGTGTGAATACCAGCAGGACAGTAGGCCACCATACAGTACAGAGCTCTAACATATCAGTGGGTTCCCTCTTCCTATGGGGAGGACTGGCAAGGTACCATTCCAAGCATCCTCTCAGCCCCTTTCTCACACATTCCCTAGGAATACTGTGGAATATCTCAGCAACAAAGTGAAAGCAGCATAATTTAAACATCAAATAACTCATGTTTGAGCAGCCAGGAGCATCCTCTGCCCAAGCCTCCTATATGAGATGGAGTTTTAGTACCAGAGCAACTTCAGCAAAGTTACTGTGTGCCTCTGCCCATCATATCTATATAATAAGTGGTAGCACCATTTGTGCCTTGAGCCACATTTGGAGATGATACATGCACAGCAGAAAGAACAGAGCACCTGGACAGGTTAGAAGATACTCTGTAGAAGCCTGCTTTCATGCGACCATCTGCAGATGGTCTTGTCCCAAATTTTCCCATGCTCCTAGGGAAAAACAATTGTATCCTGGATTGTATTTGGCAATGTTAAAGCAGTAACATATCTATGCTTTTCAGATGTAGGCCCAGGCATGCACTATCTGAGCACATCTTTTGGGCTATCTTGCTCTCTGCTACTTGAGAACTGGCAGGATTAGTACATCACTGACCATTCCTGATCTTTCAGTTACACTCTGATCTGATTTCAGAAGCAACTCTCAGTCAGGCACAAAGGCAGGCAAGGTGTGAGAAGAGGGAATTCTGCACACCTCCAGTCTGCTGCAGCACCTCAGCTCTTCTCAAAATGGGAACTAGCTGAGGATTACTAATAATGTCTCCTCCAATTAAAAAAACTAAACTAAAAAAAAAAAAAGTATAGAATTCACACTACGCCTTTACACAACACTGCTCTTTTCAAGTTACATGCGAAGTGAGGGTGCTCTCAGAAGACTGTTCTACTTTATTTACATCTGTTAAACTCTTTTCAAAGAGCAGGTACTGCTTCTCCCCAGGAACCTCTTAGACTCAAGTCATACTCTGTGGCAGTTCGTGAGAGCCTGCTCCAGCAATTTCTACTCAACTCTCCCTCCCTGCTTTGTGCCTCAGTTTTACAACTCTTCTCCCTCTGAAAAGAAGTGGGAGGAATTGAGGCTGATGCTGCACCTCCCCTTACGATCTCAGAAACTGAGACTTTGGGCAGCCAGGCAGATAACGTAACACCCTGTGCTCCTCGCAAGGTCACAGGCTTCAAGGACACATTCCAGCAGTATGCACATGAAGAGGCAAGACTACACTGACATGACAGCCAACACGCCATCATTAACTAGTACTTTCTTCTCCCCCCTAAAATAGAAAAGCTGTAATCTAGCAATAGTAAATGAAAGGCAAAATAAAGGTTAAAAATTAGAAAGGAAAAAAGGAAAGGAGGAGGAAGATGGACTGAAGCCTATTTTGAGTTTAGGTGTGGTGCTATAGCATTTGCTCTCTACTGAAAATCATGATCTCTGTGGTCATAACTTTTTCAAATTTCCATAAAAAACCATGAGCAAAAATAAGGATGCCAAAGTCTGAGTCATCTGGCAACTGTGGTTTGTAGTCCTGTCAGTAAAAACTGGCAATGTTTAAAGGTGCTGCTCCCACTGCCTCTATGGTGAATTAAAGCTTGAAGAATCGATAATAATTTGGTTAGCGTCCAGATCATTGTAGAAACTGGCCAGCGAGGAAAAGCCAACTGCCACATGGGGCTCCTTGTAGTATGAGGCCTATGTAATTTTGGAGCTATGTATCAGAAAAAATGATTGCTCTGTAAAGTACTAAGCCAAGCAGAAACAGCGCATTCTTCTACGGCTAATAAACCCTAATTTCTCTGGTAACTCTAACAGCACTTCAGACACTCTCAATACTCATGGCACCGCACAAGTTGTTTCCGAGCCAGTAACAATTTCTTACGATGTTCCTCCCTTTCTCAGGCCCTAAGCATTACTGAATTGAAGCTCTGTTTCTAGAGGTCTCAAGAACTTTTAGGTAATTTCTCTCCTCGTCAAAAATCTTATCCGCTTCCTACCACTGAGAAGAACTCATTAGTTCTTCAGAAAGTCTATTCCAGTCTCTGAGTCACAAGTGACTGGAAAAGTCACTTGGGAGAATCCATGCCTATTTTTAGTTTGTCTCACTATTCAATACAACTCCAACACATAAGCACAGGACTAAAATAAGCGATGAAGCTAAACACGTGCACATAGCTTGTATTATGCATGAAGGTGACGCCATTTTCTATGCTTAGGTTTACAACTTTCTATCCATCCTCCATACATATTTTAAACTAATCCAGCCTTATTCCTGAGGGCTTCTGGAAAACTCCTCACAGAGAGAGAACAGATTTTCATGAATGATACATCTGTCACAAGGTTATGGTTTTGACATGATTCCTATTGGCTCAGAAGGTAAAAAAGACATGAAGGATTGGTATAAAAGAGCTTAAACTGTGCTGAAAGGGGCTCAGCAGTAGCAGCACTATGAAGCACACATGGTACTGCTATAAAACAAAGTTCTTCCAGGGTAAAGCACTCACAGACACTGAAAGTATTGTTTCGAGTCCACATATTTTCTCCATGCGTGCCTGGGCTTCTATGCCAATATTTTATATAACCGGAGGAAGTACCAAATATTCCCGCTGTTCGACTGGAATTCTGGCTGACCCTGTGCTGGTGCACAAAGGCAACCCCAAGCCACATCACCTCTTTGTTCCCTTGTCCAGCGTCTGTCCCACCTCCGCGGTGCTAACAGTACTTGAGTTGTGCACCACTACTAATATCTTTTCCAATGCTTGGGAAAAGGAAGGATTACATCCTCGAAATCCCCCCGCTAAGGCAGTAGGAGGAATGTATTCAGCTCCTGTTGAAGTGCAGTAGGGAGCCCAGTCCAGCAATTAGTGTCAGGACAGTCGCAAAGGGCTCTGATAAAGGACCAGAAGGTTTCCTGAGACTCTCACTCCTGCGTGACCCATCTACAAATCCCTGTCACGAGCTATTAGTTAAAACCACAATACAGGCATAAATAAAGGAGTGTCACATGATTAACTATGATTGAAATCGATAGGTGCTTTGCCCGAGTTAATAGCTAATGACTCTGGGATTCAGCTCCAAAGACCGCATTTCACATACCACAATAGCAAAAGAGAATGGATACACTGTTTAACTTTCTGTAAACTATTCAACAGGCACAGACCTTGGATTGTTACTTCTTTCTCCCCCTTTTTTTTTTCCTATAGGTATTACAAAAAGAGTGGGAAACCCCAAACTCAATAAACCCTATTACTGAAACAATTTACAAACACACTTAATTAGCGTACTGACCATAAGCTGAGTGACAGGTTGATACAAATGAAGAGCATTATCCGCTGTAGCACTGGCACACTAGCAGCCATTGTCTCAAAAGCAGAGGAGAGAACTTAAATGCTTCCAGACTTTCTAAAAGAACTGGTAAAGAATTTGCTTTGGCTTAACTAGAACATTCTTCTTAGGCAAGCAAAAATCACCCAGCTTTCTTTTATTCGAGTAATTAGAACAATGTTTGGTGTTTCTGGTATCTGGATACATCTTTTAATCTCCTGATACTTTGGGGTATTGATTTTGCAAAAAATCCATTGTGAATGAAGCATCAATCCTGCAAATGAATCCACACTGATTTCTGACAGCCTATTTGTTTAAAAACTTCAGAAGCCAAACCATGAGCTTCAAGGAATTCCAGACAGTTATTTTATTTTATGAGATGGTATTTTTAAGACTATTCTAAAGAAAAAAAAGTACTTTAGAAGCGCTTTAGGAGAAAAAGCACCAAAATGGAGCAGAAAATTTTACTTCCATCATTTTTTTCTTGCCTTAAGAATACAAATACAGAAGTTTATTTCATACAGTTGTCAAAAAAT